GAAGTCTGGGGGGAAAAACCACAACTCTAATGCTACTTGAAGAGCTGCTGGGGGGGAGGGGGGATAAGAGCCCCTACCTGCTCATGGGTCAGCTCCAAGCATTGAGAGTTCCCGCCCATCCAGTGATCTTAATATGACAGCACAACGAGAGCAACACAAAACAGCAGATGATACTTTTGAGATGCTTTATTGCTGCTTGTTGTTTTTTCCCTGTAATGGACTTGACCAAAGGTCCCTATTGCACATCTCTGGCTTTTCTTTCTCTTTTTTTGGCATCCTTGAGAAGAATGTGGTGAGACAGCACACTTCAAATGCCACAATGTTTTTTTCCTACTACTTTTATGAGAGCATGTTACGATCATTCAGTGAGCAGAACATGCAGGAACTGAAAGGCTCATAGTGCAACCTGGCTGTGGATTGTTACCTGGCCCTGGCTTAAAACCTTTGTTTTATGGCCCAAGCCTATATTATTCACCACCATGGTCTCTCTTGCCCAATAGTTGATCTCCAAACCTCTACACGAGGCTGGCTGCTCTCATCTTGTCTATCCCTGCCCCCCAATTACAGTCCAGTTAATGTAAGCTGACTCCAAAATGCAACAGGTGCTGCTACACTGGGAGAAACCGGCATTGTGTGGCTGTATTGCAGCAAGGACACCTGACCAGTGAAGAGCTTCACTAGACTTCCTCAGTCTTCTCAGTGGGATGGGGGGAAAAACAACCCTAAATTGATACGTTCAGTTTTAACAGGCCTTTCTTTCCCTCCCATTTAACATTCACAACTTATGGCTTTCAGACCAAATTGTGCTTTTAGTGTTACTTGTGATGACACCGTGGTGGTCTTGCCGGGTGAGAGAGGTTCTTTTCTTTGCCTTTCCTTACCCTCCTGCTGCACCATTACCTGTGAGCTGCAGGTGTGTGGGCTTACGTGGTGCCATGTGGGCCACAGACACATTTGCTTGTCTGCAGGTGCCTGCAGCTGGCAGAGGCTTAAAAAAAAAAAGAGGACTCTGGCCATGGCAGTTACAGAGCAAGAGGTGCTCTGAGGAAGAGGTAAAGGGGCTGTGACTTCAGACAAAAGTAGAGAGGTGGAGGGGATGGTGGTGTGGCGGCCCCTGCCTTTGACATGCTGAACTGAAGGGCTTCCTGGGAACAGCTTCAATATACCCAGGAAACGGGCACCCACTGGGCTGAGCTGCATGCGCGCTCAAAGGCTGCTTGGAGTTGCTGGAGGCTCTCGTCCACATCATTGTTCACCAGCGACAGGTCGAAGTAGTGGGCATATCTGCTCCGGATCGCTTCCGAATCCTTCTGCAGTTGCTGCAAGGCTTCTGACTGCACAGGAGAGATGGGGAGTGAGCAACAGAAGTCAGACAGCTGGGATCTCAGTTACAAGTACAAAGTGAATTACTGCTCTGCTGTGGTTCCTAGCTGTGCGTGCAACTTGCAGAAGGGTCAGGAGGTAGCTAAACCCTCTGCTCAGAGATGGGGAGTGAGCAACAGAAGTCAGCTGGGATCTCGGTTACAAGTACAAAGTGAATTACTGCTCTGCTGTGGTACCTAGCTGTGCGTGCAACTTGCAGGAGGTCGCTAAACCCTCTGCTCCACTGTCACACCAAATCCCCACAATACACTTTGAACACCCAAGAGCTTGGATACAGGATCTTTTGAGAGGTAACTGAAAATTTCATGTTAAATTGCACGCGTACCCCACTGGTGCTGGGCGATTAGGTAAAAAAATCCAAAGGCAGCAGCAGAGCAGATTTTGATCTGTACTAAGAGTATTAATACAGAAAAAGCTATGGTTGCCCTTTAAAAATCATAGAAGGTAGCACTATTTTGAATCTGGCTCCAGCACATTCTACAGCTAAGAGCCAGTAGCCCTTGGTGGACTTAAATCAGTTTTGTGCTTTCCTTCATTGAATTAAGTCTGCACCATTTCCTGTGGTCAAATGTAAGACAAACTGAAGATTTATTAAATTGCCGCTGCTTTTGGATTTGTTCCCGCTGAACCAAACTCAAGTCCCCTAGTCCAGAAATCCAACCAGTTCACTTCTCTCCTACCCCAAATTCTGTGACTTCTATGCCTTAATGTTATAACTGAACAATCAGCAGGCATTTGTTTTTCAGCCTTGTGCCTGCCCGAGGGAACAGGCGTTCTGCTCAGCCTCTCCCTATCAGGTTCTGGTATGAGCAGTGTCTGGTGCTCGGATTCATTGAGACTAGGGAAGATAATGTTCTCCAGCTAAATGGTAAGATAAGAGGGTGTGGGATGAACCCATTTTCATGGTGCAAAGAATATTGCAGGGCTCTGAAAGCGGAGGAAGGTTGGGAACCTGCTGGGTGTTTGTAGGCATTAAGATTTCCTCCTGTGGAATGTGGCTTTCTCACCCACCCACCCCGGAATAGTATTTCAGTGCATTTGGAGCTGCAGCAGGAGGCTGTGCTCTGCTACACCTCAGCCTGTGTTCACAGGGAAGTTGGGAACCTCTTAACAATTCAGTTCTTCCTTCAAGCTATGGCTGAAGAAAAGATCTCTCTTCAATAGGGCATTTTCTGTAAGTATGATATGGTAAGTAAAGGAGACTTTTCACTCACTGCCTGCACGGAAGTTCTGCCAGGAATTCAATGCACCCCATGTTCAGTTGCATAAAAGGAAAATGGGGTTGGGTGGAATTAATGTCTTGCATGGGTGGTGGGGGAGGGCTAGCTTAGAGCAGGAGGTCGCAGTTGCAGACTGTTTTGGACTTGAGCACTTTCTCAACTCAAAAGACCAGGCAAGGCAGGTGACATTCCCCAAGGTCGCTAGGGGGGAAAATCAGCCACAGAGGGTTGGTGGAGAGCGCACAGGCCATTCATGCAGGGCAACAGTCAGGTCCTATAAGCCTAGTGCATAGCATGAACCGGAGTCCTTGGCAATGCTTAGGGGTTCCTTTAAGCAGTCAAGCTGAAACAAAATGCCCCCCCCCCCCCCCCCCCCCCAAGCTGATGTTTTGAGGAGGGTTGGCACAGAGCATCACTACCTGGTCAGCCTTGTCTGTGGGAGCAATGAACACGATGAAAGGTGAGAACTCGGCCGTACGGATGATCTTCAGGGTCTTGGAGGAATAAGGAGAACAAGGAGCAGTTAAGAGGTGGTCTCTGGTTCTCATGACAGGCCTGCCAACGATGTTCCTTTGCTGAGTTTACTAACTTTTAGGAAAAGATTCAACCATCTTTTTTTTACAAAAAGTACCTTCCTCTCACCAAAGTGTGTTAAAATGAGGTCACAATTCTCAATATAACCCAGAAGGGGGCGAGGCAGTTGGGCTACTCTGGACACTCCAATGAAAAGGGTAAAGTGAGTCCTCAAGGGATAAAGGGGCCAGAGATCCATTAGAGAGCCAGTTTGGTGTAGTGGTTAAGAGTCCGACTCTAATCTGGGAGAACGGGGTTTGATCCCCCACTCCTCCACTGCACCTGGCTGGACGACCTTGGGTCAGTCACAAGCTCTGGCACAGCTGTTCCTGAAAGAGCCGTTTGTGTCAGCTCTCTCAGCCCCACCTACCTCACAGGGTGTCTGTTGTGGGGAGGGGAAGGGAAAGGAGTTTGTAAGCAGCTCTGAGACTCCCAAGTGAAGGACGGGATATAAATCCAATCTTCTAGGGGATCATTCTCATTTTGTTTTGCAAGGCAAGCACAACAGGTGGAGGGAGTGGGGTCAGACGGTAAAGGGCTTCTAACCCTTCCCAAGACTTCACCCTCCTACTTTCATGCAGCTTGATCATGGCCCAGTTCCCAGTATTATTTCGAACATCCAGCTGCTAACCATTACACTCTAAAAAAAAACCACCACGTGTATTGGTCTAATAAAAGCAGCATGTCTGCCAGTGCTGGGCCTGAAGCCCAGGCAAAACAGGTAAAAGGCAGATGTGTGTCAGCTAAGTGCACCCTTCTAGTTATTCCTTTTCCACACTTCGTAGAGCAGAGACTTCAGAGCTGGTTTGCCATTGCCTGCCTCGGCATGATGGCCCTGATGTTCCTTGGATGCATCCCCCTCCAAATACTAGCCAGGGCCAACCCTGCTTAGCTTCCGAGATCTGATGAGAGCGGGCGATCCAGGTCAGGTCTCCTGATCCTTACAGACTGCATTTTATTTCTGGCCCCAAAAAAAAGTGTGCCTACCTGTGGCTCAATGTCCAGAATGGCGATTTTGTCTTGTTCGTGGATCTTGTGTACAGATTCAAATTTGGTGCCAAACATGTTGCCCTGGTAACTCCCAAACTCCAGGAACTCGTTGGTTGAGATGTCTCTAGTCATCTCCTCTGTGGAAACAAAGTGGTAGTCTTTCCCATCCACCTCGCTCTTCCTCTGGGGCCGAGTGGTGTCTACAAAAGAAAACGACAGAGGTGAGGGGCCCGCGGGGGGGGGGGGGGGGGGGGCAGCCGTGCCTATAGAGCCAGTCTGAATTATTGAGAGCCTTGAAGGAGGGCAGAATAAAACTTCGGGGTATGGTCTCTGCAAATGAAAAGGGGCTCAGTTGCTGCCTTTTGGCCCAGAGGGTGAGCAGTGGTCACATGCTCCTCTGTAAATTGTAAGGGCAGAGCTTATGGGCAAACAACTCAATCCTAGGAAGTCTCTGTCTAAATTCAATGAGGTTTAACTCCCTAGTGAGTTTGTTTAGAATTACAGCCTTTTCCTGGAGAGTTCCTGTGTAATATCTGCTTTATTTACGGTTATGCAAGCAGTGCATAAAGTGGAGAGAAAGAAGCAAGCCTGCACAATGGCAGAGAGAGAATTGAGTCCAGTGGTTAGAGTGTTGGACTACGATCCCATTCAGCTGTGCAGCTCATTGGATGACCCCCAGGCCTGCTAGTCTCTTCTTCAGCCTTGACCTACATCACATGGTTGTCAGGAGGCTAACCAGGGGAAGGGGAATCCATATATGCCCCTCTGAGCTCCTTGGAGGAAGGGTGGGATAAGAACACTCAATTTTCACTGTAATCCAATTCACAGCCTCACCTGGCCCCATTCCTCCCCCCCCCCCGAACACCCAACCGCTGTTTCTCACATGCAGTCTCCCAGCTTGCGTTTGAGACTCCATCCTCTGCCAGGGCATTGCCCGTTCAGGGCACCCATCCACATCCATTTATCCCACATTCTCATCAGGCATCACTTTAGACAGGAGTTGGACAGCAAACCTCACCACAGTATACACCAGGCCTAAGGTCATGAGCCAGCAACCTTCTGCAAGGGGTTCAGATGCTACAATGGAGAACAAGGTTTGGAGGGACACTTACATGGAAGAGGGTATCCAAATTTCTCTGGATTCTTGCTGAGCAGGGTGTTCTTAATGTGGCTTCGACCAACCCCGCTGGCCCCTGGTCCAAAGGGAAGAGAAGTAAGTGGGAGGAAATCAGCCTCAGTACCCATTCCTCTATCTGAGGAGCCTCCATTTACTATGAGCAAAGTAAAGCTGCCAGCCCCAGCCTGTCTAGGTCACTCTTGGGTACTCTGACTGGCAGTAGCTCCCCAGGGTCCCAGAGGTTTCTCATATTATCCAGTACTTGATCTTTTTAGCTGGAGATGCCGGGGATTGAACCTGGGACCTTCGGTGTGCCAAGCAGATGTTCTACCACTAAGCTGTCTCCCCACCCTACAACTGCACTGTGAACCATTCTGGACACAGAAAAAAATCATTCTTCCCAGCTCCTGATTCCACACGATATCACTATTTTCTTTTGTACCAGAACAAACAGCAATTATCTAATTGGTATGTGTCAAATCACATTTTTGTTTTTATGAATAGGGCATTCACAGCCCTGGTCTCCCCCATCAATTCCCCCTGCCACTCCAACCTCTTCTTGAAAAGAAGCCCATGACACTCTGCATCCCAATGAGCAGGTTTCTGTGATCACAAAGTCCCTTCAGGAAGTGGACACGCTGGACCTTCTGATGATGGTACCCAGTCCTGGCAACAGGACGGAGGGTGAACAAGCTTGCAGCCAATCAGAAAACTCTAACTGAAATACTCCACCTGAATGATTCACTTCAAACATGGGCTGCAGGTAGGGTTACCAAGCCTCCCACTGTAGTGAGACATTTCCTGGCAACCCAGGAAAAAATGGGGTCTTGTGCCAGGTACTGACATCACTTACGGAAAAAACAGAAGTGACATTATGGGATGTGCTAGTATTTTTGAAACTCTATGGCTTTAACATAAGTTTCTGTAAATCCTAGAGTGTCCCAGGGCGTCACTGCAACTACCGCTAATTTTCAGTGACGTAAGTGTACCAGTGTGACCCCGGCATGCCAATTCTCACCCTCTAAATGCTCCTGGGTGTTGTGAGCTGCAGCTGGCAGTCCTAGATGTAGGTGAGTGGGCCCTTTGTGGTGTGAATCCAGGTAGATTAGAGCCAAGAAAGGATGAGTGAGTTACCTATTAGCACCAGTGTCTTCCGCTTGAAGGCTGGAAGTCTTACCACCTCTTCATACGACACAACATCCAGCTGGTCAAAAACTAAAGGAAGAAAGGTTGAAAACTGAACCAAGCATCAAAAGACATCAACAACTTCAGCGGCCTACCATTCCTACATGCAGACTGTGGTCTCCATGAAGCTTAAAAGACTCTTGGAGAACCCAGCGAAGCTCTCACCGCATTGGTAAACCTGTTTCTGGGCCGCACAGGGGCTTACATGACTGAATGCCCCCTGCATGGAAAAAGGAGGATTCCCCTGAGCAGAGAAGACTAGATATAAGGGAGAGAGTGATGCCTGAGACCTTCTCCTTTTTTCTGTGTAGTAGGAATCGCTTTGCATAATGGAATGTTCACTTATACGAGCTCCCCCCCCCAGTCTAAAATGATACAACCAAACACAGATTTAAAACTTTAAATTAGAGCTAGGTCTGAAAACAGTCTGATTAGATTGGTAGACAATGGATTCTTTGTCATTTTGCTGCCAGTGCTTCCTTGGTCAATACTGACATTATGGGCATGCCATGATTACATCATGTAGAGAAGAAGAGGAGGAGATTGGATTTATACCCTGCCCTTCACTTGTGGAGTCTCAGAGCGGCTTACAAACTCCTTCCCCTCCCCACAACAGATGCCCTTTGAGGTAGGTGGGGCTGAGAGAGCTCTTTCAAGAACTGCTCTTTCAAGGACAGCTCTTGTCAGAACTATGGCTATAGAAGTTGGTCTTGGCTGTAAAACACCATATCCCGAGTATCAGTTTTCATTTAAAAACACACCCTCTCCCTCCCTCTCCCAGGCTTGAACCCACTGGATTTTTTCCCCCACGGGCACAAAGATTTCTACTTGCAGAGTAATTGATTTTTTCCCCATGTGCAGAACCTGAGTTACGACACTGCAAAATTTGAAAATGTCAGTAATCTCACTGCAGGCCTTTGTCACCTTGTTCTGCTTATGGGTTTCCCGGAAGCCTCTGGCTGGGGAAACAAGATGCTGGGTTTAGAGTGCAACCCAGGAGTAAGCCCCACTGAATAGACTAGAATAGGCTTCTGGGTAGACCTTCTTAGGCTTGCGCTCTAAGATGGTATTTTGGTCAGATCCTGGAGGGCTCTTCTGCTGCTCCTTTAAGGCATTACATATTCATAGAGGATATCGAATTAGTCATGATAGCTAAGTGGAATCTCCATGCTCAGAGGCAGTGTCTCTCTGAATACCAGGGGGAGGCTCTGGCCCTCGTGGCTCGCTTGTGGGTTTGCTTAGAGACATCTGTTTGCTACAGTGGGAATTGAGATCCTGGACCCAGGGTGTAATGGATGGCAAGTTTCTTCTAACACAGAACTTTTCAGTAGTGTACCTTGGTCTTGATTTTGAATGTGCTCAAAATGCCATCAACATTTGCTATGTTGGGACAGAATAATGATGATGATGTGTGTGTAAGGGAACAAGCCTGAAAAGGTGGGCTCTGTTATAGCTCCCTCTCTCTTGCCTTTAGCCTGCCTCACAGGAAGAGTAACAGTCCATCCCAAGAGGGCGTGCGCTTCTGATGGATTCTCTGGTTTGTCGACACCTTCAGTATCTGAGACCGGGCATGGAGCCGATTCAGTCTTGGGGGGACCAAAGCAAAAAAATGTTTCCTCTCCCTTGTTCTACTCTCCCAGCCAGGGATATATAGTCTCTTGTTATAGGCCAGACAAGGTGTCATGCAGCTATCCAATTTCCTCCAGCAAAGGTCTCCTTACAACCTGCCAAGTAAACAGAATTCAAAGGCTGCTTTCCCAAGGCAAATGCAACAACAAAGCATTTGAGAGATCATCCAGCCCATGAAGAGGCCATAGGAAACCAAATCATGTTTTCACTCTTTCTCACATGCATACAGAGGCCCAATTTGCACATGCAGCGATGCAACACCTTGGAGGCTCCCCATGCAGCAAAGCGCCTGCATGGACCAGCTTGCTGTGCTCTTCCACAAGTCTTCACTGACCTGTCACATGCTCCTAAGAAAAGAATGTGACAAAAGGTCACCAAGACCACATGGTGAGCCACTCCCATGTGGACAGATCACTGCATGGTAGAACATCTCCGAGATTGCATTACATGTAGCTGACATACTGCTGTTTGTATGCTCAGACAATAATAATAATAATAATAAAAAACCCAGCAACTGGCAACTGGCATATCCCAGGGACAAAACCACCCATTTGGCCCTCCCAACTGCAAATCCACAGGAAAGAGGAGTAGAGGATGCAGATACAGAACTTGTCAGAAACCCATGCTGGGGACTGGTAGAGCAGCCTTGGCCTAGACTCCTCCTCAAAATGATGGGAGCATCACAGCTGCAAATCGCACGCACACAAGGCTCAGTGAAGTTGCAGAATCATGCTTCTGTTCACCCGGAAAGCAGTCCTTCCTTGATGGGAAGATGGGATGTAGGGTGATAGTGAAGGGGGAGGAAGGAAGAGGTGCTCACTTGAACTGTGCTTGGCCAGATATTTGTCTTTGCATTTCTTCTTCTTGCCAAAAGGGCTACAGTTCTGGGCTTGACCGGGGTTGCTTTGAGTCATGCTTGCAACACGCCTGAGGGGAAAAATTAACCACGTTGTGAGAGAAGAAAGTGTCAGATAAAGCCTGCTCTTTCCTAAAACGATCATAAGAACATAAGAGATGCCAATGTTGGATCAGGCCAAAGGCCCATCCAGTCCAACACTCTGTTGCACACAGTGGCCAGAAATACCAGTGCCATCAGGAGGTCCACCAGTGGGGCCAGGACATTAGAAGCCCTCCCACTGTTGACCCCCCCCAAGCACCAAGAAGACAGAGCATCACTTGCCCCAGAGTCCCTATCTATACCTTGTGGCTAATAGCCACTGATGGACCTCTGCTCCATATGCTTATCTAATTCCCTTTTGAAGCTGTCCATGCTTGTAGCCGCCACCACTTCCTGTGGCAGTGAATTCCATGTGTTAATCACTCTTTGGGTGAAGAAGTACTTCCTTTTATCCGTTCTAACCCAACTGCCCTGCAATTTCATGGATCAGTTTATCTTATATCTAGCATGCCCATATCCAGTCAGTGCACCGGTCCATCTCAATCAGTGCTGTCTGCTGTGACTGGGAGCAGCCTTCTGGAATTTCAGGCAGAGGCCTTTCACAACACCTGCTGAGATCTTTAATGCAATGGACTTTTTCTCTTGCTCATACAATAATAGAACTCAGGAGGCATTGAGTGAAATTGATGGGAAATAGATTCAGGACAGAAAAAAAGAAAGCATCTCTTCACTCAAGTTCTGGCATTCATTGCTAGTGGATATAATGCGGACCAATAGCACAGATGGCTCTAAAATAAGATTCGATAGATCCATGGTCACTAAACGGCAGCGCCATGTTCAGAGGCAGCAAACCTCTGAATCCCACTGCTAGAAGGCAACGTCAGTGGAAGGTCATGGTCTCTCAATACCCTGTTAGATGGCTCTCCAGGACTGCTGGTTGGTCACTGTGAGAAACAGGGTGCTGGACTAGAGGGACCACTGGTCTGATCCAGCATAGCACTCCTTATGTTCTCATGAATCTAAGACTTCCTGACTATAAAGCAACTGGTCTGTCACTGAGCTACTGAAGCAAAGGGAATCCTGTCAAATTTGAACCATAATCACAAATCTCATACCGTATTCGTTTTGGAAATGGACAGAAAGCAAAAGCGCAGGCTGGCTGCATTCCGATTTGGATTGGACACTGTGTTGATTTTTCTGTGTGGCCCTTTTCCCAGCCTCACTGTGAACAGGGGACATTGGACAGAAATATCCAACCTCTGGCCCCTGTGCTGCTGCAGCAATCCAGCACTCGAATTCCATTTCCCTGAAGTTGAAGTGTACACAGATTATTTGTCTGAGGCAGTGAGAGCTTCCTTTTTCATGTGTAGCCACCATTGCCCCAGGGCAAAACCAGCCCTGCTGAATTGACAAGAACCCTCCCTGCAAGGGGGAAAAATTGTTTTCTCTATTTCCCCAACTGTGCCTTCTTCCCCCTGTCTCTAACAAATTAAGGAAGCAGTAAAATTGACTGGATGGCCAGTTTTTCTCGTGGCCAGCATGGTGAAATTTTTAGAGTGTCAGACTAGAACCTGGGACTATAGAACCACTTCCAAAGCAGCCTTTTTCTCCAGGGGAACTGATCTCTGTTGTCAGGAGACCAGTTGTAATAGTGGGAGATCTGAAGCCACCACCTGGTGGTTGGCTTCAGCTAGAAACCCTGATGGAACACACACAAAGTTGTAATCCACAATGGCAGCTCTGCCATATTTTCTCTAAGATGCTATGATCCGTGTACAGCCTGTGTGGACCAGTTCTGACAGAAATGATAAATCTGTGTCTGCACTGTGCTTGACTGACTGAACACCTCTCCATTTAAAAAAGAAAGTCCTGTACTTTGAAAACTAGCATGTGGGGGAAAGTCTTGGTAGGAACCCTTCTTCCACAACATACCGATTTCTGTGTAGATGGACCTGTTTGGAATGGAGAAGTATTCCATCACATTCACCCTCTTCTCTAGTATGAAATGGTATGGCCCAGACACAGGCTTGACAGTGCAACAAGAGTGAAGACTATTGTACTGTGTGCTTTGCAGGGGGCGTGTTTGATTGAGGCAACCCTAAGACTTAAAATATTATCTTGGCTTTTGGAGGGGGGGGCTGTAAAAAAATCACTAGCTTTTCTCAGATATTCCAGTGGACCCAGGCTTCAGAAGGCATTCTGCTGAATGGGAAACCGAGATCAGGGCTGATGGCAAGCAACCGATGTGGCATGTCTAGAGTTTGGACAACGCTCTTGGAAACAGAAATCACCTGCCAGCTTCTACGTAAATTGCCAATTTGCAGTGCAGTGGATCTCACTGTCTTGAGTGCAGCCAGAAGAAAGCCAGCTGGGAGCCAGAAAAGGGGCACCATATGCAATCGAACGAGGGAATCATCATCATCATCATCATCCTCCAACAGGACATACCATTCTTGCAGCTCCAAAGAGGGGATAAGTCCAGCTGACCCATTGGAGGAACCCATCACCCGGCCCTGCCACCAGTTGCTGTCATCTTTGTTGATGATCTCAATGACGTCTCCTGTTTGGAACTTCAGGCCAGCTTCCCTGCAAGGGATCAAGGTGTCCTTTTTGGGGTCGTAGTCAAACTGGGCTCTCATGAACATCTGGAAGAGAAGGGTCAAAGGTCAGCTGGAGAATGAGCTTTGATTTGCAGGAGAAAAGCAGGTGTCATCCCCAGTCAAGCAAGAGATTAAACTAGGTACACGAGGGGCCAACATCAGTAGAGACATATGCACCCTTTCCCACCCTTTTTGCACTTCTCTTTCTGCCTGCCAACAAGAACACATTTCAGCATAAACGTTACTTAGTACACCTGTATTACTGCCTTCCTCCAATGAGCCCAGTAAGTGATATTAGAGTGGCTTAACCTCACAACAACCTTGTGAGGCTGGACAAGAGTAACCTGTCCAAGGTCACACGATGAACTTCAGGGATCTGAAGTTCAAGGATTTGAAGCAGGGGTATGCATTTGGATATTTTCAATCCGAAACAGTACCCAAAATTCCCTGTTTCATTTCCCAAAATTTTGGGATTCAGTTTCATTTCCCAAAATTTTAGAATTCAGTTCCCAAAACGTTACTCCTGAAATTTTGAAATTTGGGATGGTTACTTTGGCTATTTTGTATGGGTAGTGCACAGAGATTCTTTTGAACTGTGGTGCTGGAGAAGACTCTTGAGAGTCCCTTGGACTGCAAGAAGAACAAATCAGCCAATCCTAAAAGAAATCAACCCTGACTGTTCCCTGGAAGGCCAGATAATGAAACTGAAGCTCAAATACTTTGGCCACCAAATGAGAAGGGAGCACTCACTGGAGAAGACCCTGATGCTGGTAAAGATTGAAGGACAAAGAAGATGGGGACGGCAAAGAATGAGATGGTTAGACAGTGTCATCGATGCAACGAACATGAAGTTGAGCAAACTTCAGAGGATGGCGGAAGACCAGAAGGCCTGGCGGGAGATGGTCCATGGGGTCGCAAAGAGTTGGACTCGACTGTGTGACTGAACAACAACAAAAGTGCACAGAGAGCCAGTTTGGTGTAGTGGTGAAGAGCTGTGGATCTGGTTTGATTCCCCACTCCTCCACGTAAAGCCAGTTGGGTGACCTTGGGCCAGTCACAGCTCTCGCAGAGCTCTCTCAGCCCCACCTACCTCACAGGGTGTCTTTTGTGGGGAGAGGAAGGGAAAGTGATTGTAAGCCACTCCGTAACTCCTTCAAGTAGTGAAGGGTGGGGTATAAAACCAACTCTTCTTCTTCACGGAAAACAGCAGAAGTAGACCCAGCCTCCACATAGATTTACCTGATATGAATGAGAAGGAACCTCATCTCCAGCTAGCAAAATGAATGTGGATCTCACAGTCTGATGCAATACAGCGATTCTAATGCAACTGATAACCTTATTAGAGGATTCTGAAGGCCATCCTCCTTACATCCAAAACATGTATGAAAAATAAGTTCTGTGACTACTAGGACAAACACTGAAAACTGGAACAAAATTAGGTAGAGTTTGACAGGTACAGGGACTTTGCAACACCTGGACAAGTGATGATCAGTGTGGTTAAGTTGCTGGAGGTTTAGACTAGGAAGACCTGGATTCAAAGCCCAACTCAGCCATGAAGCTTATTGGGTGATTTTGGGAGAGGCACTCTCTTAGCCTCACCTATCTCACAGCGGCATTTATGAAGAAGAAGAAGAGATTGGATTTATACCCCACCCTTCACTACCCAAAGGTGTCTCAGAGCGGCTTACAAACTCCTTTCCCTTCCCCTCCCCACAACAGACACCCTGTGAGGTAGGTGGGGCTGAGAGAGCTCTGACAGTAACTGCTCTTTTTCAAGCTCTTATCAGAGCTACGGCTCTTATCAGAACTACGGCTTGCCCAAGGCCATCCAGCCAGGTGCAAGTGGAGGAGTGGGGAATCAAACCCGGTTCTCCCAGATTAGAGTCCGCGCACTTAACCACTACACCAAACTGGCTCTCAGTACCTTAGAAGGCCAGGAAGACTATTCCTCTGTCCTGCCCAGTTTCATAACTTGCCCTTCTTGGCTTCACATTACACATGCACCAGCATAAACCACGGCAGACACCATCCATGCCAGACTCCAAACATTTCTCTTTCTGTGCTTATCCATGGTCTGCATCTCACACAAAACCAGCATTAGCACTGGAAAATAAAAGGGCAGGAACTTGCTCCAGATGGGGAAAGCGAGCGTGCCAGCCTCAGTTAGCAGCATGATATCTGGACCTGACCCTTGTCTTCAAAGAAAAAAAAAATCATCTGTGCACAGCCTTAATTGCACCATAGGCATCTTCCATGCAGCAGGTGCTCGTGTCCTGTTCCAAGGCTGGCTTCCCATTCCCTCTCCGCTTAGGACCCTTTTCCAGATGCCTGCTGTACAAGCATAGAAGAATGGGCCATAACACTTCAATGTGTGGGTGAATACTCCTCTGTGATGAAAGCTTCCTGAAAATAGTAGCCCATCAAGTCAGGGAGTTATTTGAAGCACATCCTTCTTGCTAATGGGCTAATTCTGTTCTTTCTTCCAAGATAAATCTTGACTTTATTCAATTATTTACTTCATTGTCCACCTTTCTCGCAGAGACTTGGCTCTTACCTTGGGGAGCATTCAAAAATGGTATTCTCCCCCCCCCAACACACACACAACACCTGTTAAGTCAAATAGTGACCTAGGGTTGTCAAGTCCCCCCCTGGCCACTGGAGGGGGCTGGGATGTGTGTGTAGAGTTGCCAGATCCAAGTTGGGGAACTCTCGGAGATTTGGGGATGGAGCCTGTAACAGGGACTCAGCGGGGTAAAATGCCACAGAGTCCACCTTCCAAAGCATCCATTTTCTCCAAGGGAACTGATCTCTGCAGTCTGGAGAGGAGCCGTAATTCAGAGCTGGAGGCGGGCATCCTTAAGTATAGCCCATCGTGTCTTCACCTTTGTCTCCTCTTGCGGCACACATGGATTGGGGACTTGCATTTCTTTAGCTGACATCCCTCCTTGCTTCCACTGTGGAACTCAAGGTGACATTCCTAGGGTTCCCAGGAGGTCTTCCTCCAAAGCAATAATCAGACCCAGGTTGCGAGGTCAAGTGCCTTCAAGCCATGCTCTGGGATCACCTTTGTAGCCATCATGTGCCTCCCTGCACTGTCTGGGAAACGTGCAGGAGGAGCACATGCCTCAGTCCCTCCCCAGGCCACTGTCGTCCCTTCCCCTACTCATCAGCCTACCTTTGACCTCTTTCCATCCCACCCTCACCCCATCCTTCTCCATCTCCTACAGATCTAGGGTTGCCCAATGGGTCCACCTGGCCTAGCTCTTGTGCATTTAATCTTCTCCTACCGCACAGCTATGAAGAAAGGGAAGGGTTTGCTTTTCTTCATCCCCGTGCCTCCATGCTGGGGGAAGCGGCAACGTTTTGTGAGCCTTGCCAGAAAAAGTGTGAGAGAAGTGTAGGCTTTGGATGTGCGTGGGAAATGACTTTTCACTAGCCTACCCTTCAGTGGGGAAAAGGGCAGGGCAGAGATAGGCAACCTTTTCAGTCCAAGTGCCAGGAAACACCCACACTTTCCTACCTGTGAAACCGTTGTCGTGTTAGACAAACATGTTGATGAGGTTTGCCACTGAAAATGAGCAAAACCATGCAGATTGCCCTAACTTTCACAGGTTACAGAATCCAGATTGTTCTTGGCTTAGGAATTTGGGTTCTGTTAAAGCAGAATGTTTTAAAGTGGCCCTGGGTTCAGGTGGCTGGGTGTCTTCTTTTGTGGAAGACAGTCCCCTTTTCCTCAGTAAAACTGGCTGAAGGTTTGGAGTTGTGTGGGGGTTTTTTAACCTGAAGGAGCTTTCTGGAAACATTTGAGTGACAGGCTGTCATTCAAGAAGCTGAGCTCTGCCTGCTGCCTCAGACAGAGCTGGCAGGATAGTGAGCTCTATTTATACTCAAATTATAGTAATTATGTATAAATTTGCACCTACGAATGTCACTTAGCAGATGCAATTTTGTACAAATTGCGTCCTCCTCGAACCTTTATCGGTCTTCCATAGACAGCCACTCTACCCAGGGCTTTTAGCTGGGGAAGGGAAGGGGAGGCTTTTGAAGATGCTTCCCCAGCCAGCCAGCCTGCCAAGGTTGAGAGAAGGGGTTTAAACTTTAAACCCCTTCTCTCTGGAGTCGCGCTGCAGCGCGATCTTCCCATTATATTCTATGGGGCCATAGAATATAATGGGAAGATTGCGCCACTGTTGCGGCGCGACTCCAGAGAGAAGGAGCTGGGGAGGGGGAGCTGGGGGCGGGACTTGTGCCCACTCCTGGGCTGCTGGAGCAGTGCTCCGGCCCCAAATGACCCCTGGTGTGTAGTATAGCCAGGAGATCCTAAGATTGTCAGGCAGCCAAAAAGTCCAGCTCTTTAGCTTTATGGACCACTAGGTGGTGAGCTAGACTTGTTTTTAAGGCAAGAGATGTTTCAGAGGTGGCTTGCCATTGCCTGCCTCTGCATCACAACCCTGGTATTCCTTGGAGGTCACCCTTCCAAATACTAGCCAAGGCCAACCCTGCTTAGCTTCCGAGATCTGACTAGATCGGGCTAGCCTGGGCTATCCAGTTTGGAGAAGTCAGGACAGATTGGCTAGCTTGATCACCTCGAGGTGGAGTGGCAATTACTCACAGGAATGGCTTTAAACTATACACTCCAAAAATCCCTAGAAGGCATGCCCAACAACAACAGCTGAATGGAACCTCCAGGTTCAGAGGCAGTGTATCTTCAAAGATCTTCAAAGAACAAATGCCAAAGAAAAACAGTCAAAAAAACACAGTGTGAGCATTCAAAGGTATCTGGGCTGGCAGCCCCAGGTCGTTCTTTGGCCTGGTCCACAATTGAAGCAGAATGAGGTGCCAGAGTTCTGAGGAAGTAGAACGTGTTATACATATTAGATTCCAAATAAAAAATGAAGTCAAATGAGGGAAAACAGTTGGACCAAAAGTTGACTGCTTTCTGAGCATATTCAGGAAGTACACGATCTTTTATACATGAACTGACATAATCAAGAAAACAATATAAAAAAAAAATGCCGTTATTATTTAGTATAAGTTAGTTATTAGAGTTAAGATAAGAATTGAATTGTGCTATCCTGTCTTGTTTTTACCCTTGTGTTAAACTCTTTGTGATCCAGCAGCGGCAGCCAACTTCTAATCACCAGTGATTTTAGTTTGTTTTTTGGTTGTCCGATAGGTTTTGTGTATCGCCGCCTTATCTGTGTGGCTTTCTCATGAAGTAACTTTCTTCCTTTTTCTTTTGGTCTGCAGACCTCATGTCAGTTTGCTTAAAAGACACCGATGGCTGCACATGTGATCAAAAGAACAACACAGAGGCAAGTCCCCTTATCTGAATACTCTCACAGACACTGTGAAGCCATTAGCCTCATGGAGGAAACAAACGATACCTGTATTTTGCCTATCTGTAACCTATCTGTATTTTTTTCCCCTCAGGGAGATAAGAGCAATCGAAGGGGGTGTGTGTGATTATTTAGATCAGAACAATGGCATGAGGGGAAGGGTTCCCTTTAAACTTTAAACCCCTTTAAACCACGAGATCCAGTCACAGATCTCTGCATCATATCAGTTTTGGTTCTGACTCACTCCTTCATGGAGCTGCAGTGGCTCAAGTGGTTAAGACGCTGAACTGCAGGCTGTGGAAGGTCGGTAGTTCAGCAGTTCGAGACCCGAGTTGCCGCATGACGGAGTGAGCTCCCATCTCTAGTTCCAGCTCCTGCCACCCTAGCAGTTCAAAAGCAAGAAATTGCAAGTAGATAAATAGGTACCGCTTCAGTGGGAAGATAACAGCGTTCCGTGCGCCTTGGTGTTTAGTCATGCCGGCCACATGACCACGGAAAACGTCTTCGGACAGCGCTGGCTCTTCGGCTTGGAAACGGAGATGAGCACCGCAGCCCTAGAGTCGGACTCGACGGGCTTTCGAGCAAGGGAACCTTTACCCTTTACCTTTACCACTCCTTCATTCACTGTTTCTCCCATACAAACAACTTTCTCAGCTTCAGATCGCCAAATACTGACAGGGTTCTAAAGTGGGGGGGGGGGCAGGCTGAATGGGATTTTCAGTCATCAAGCAGAACTTCACACTCTCTGCATTTCTTCACCCCTCCCTATAAGCAGAAACAACATTACGAAAAATCTGCAACTATACAGTTACTAGGAGTAAGGCACCTTGTGAGAAGAAATATCATGAGCTCTAGAACGAGGCTTCAGGTGAGTGTCCCGGCTGTGGCTGGTGTGGCTGTGGAGGGAGGGGGTTGATTTCCTTCTGCTTCGCTGTAAGCGAGGGGGCTGTCTCAAGTTATTTTGCTGCCCCAAGTGGGTAGCATGAGGTGAGCCGCATGGTAACACCCCTGACTTATGTTGATTTGGAGTTATTCAGTGGCAGCCAAGGTAGAAAACCACCTCCTCCTATGCCATGTTTTTCGGGTTTCAAGGGTCTGGAAAGCAGTTCCGTAGCCAGTTACAGGGCTACCAACTCTGCGTTGAGAAATACCTGTAGATTTGAGGGGTAAAGCCTGGGGAGGGCAGGGTTTGGGGTGGGGCGGGACCTCAGCAGGGTATAATGCCATTGAGTCCACTGCCCAAAGCAGCCATTTTCTCCAGGAAAACTGATCTTGGAGATCTCCAGGTGCCACCTGGAGGTTGGCAATACTAAGGGGAGGGCCAGGTTTGTTGAAGGATTTCAGTGAGGTAGAATGCCATAGAGCTCACCCTCCAAAGCAACCATTTTCTCCGTGGGGATTGATCTCTGTAGTCTGGAGATCAGTTTAACTGACTCCTTGCTAATGCCCCACAGCCTTTTGGGACTCCCAACTTGGGAGTTGTAGTCCTAATCCCCTTTGCTATAGTTTCAGTAAGGCCAGCTGAGAACTACAAAGGTGCAATGTGTCAAAAGTGGGGGCATAAGAATGGAGGAGCTGGCGGGACCAGCCAATAGGACACCAAGGCAGCTTGCCCAGTGGCCAATGAGAGAGGAGGTGAATCCAGGCCCCACAGGGAGTTTGGCAACCCCCATGAATGTTTAAGGGAAGATTGGCAGATGTATTGGGAGAAGGTGAGTCGTCGGGGACACGGCTAGCCTTTTATATATATCTAGATTAGCAGCCCAATAGCCAGCCTAGCCCGATCTTGTCAGAGCTTGGAAGCTAACCAAGGTTGGCATGGTTAGCACTTGGATGGGAGACCACCAAGGAAGACAGGAGGTTGATGTGTAGAGGAAGGCAACAGCAAAGCACCCCTGTTCATCTCTGGCCTTGAAAAACCCATAGTCCTGTGGTCACTATGAGTCAGCTGCAACTTGACTGCATACTGTTACTATTA